TAATGCAACTACAAAAAAAAATACAAAAAGAAAAATAAAGAAAAAAATGTGTAAAAAGGAAAATACAATAACTTCCCTTTCATCCAACAAGTAAAAACAATTTTAATATCTTTAATATCACCATTTCCTATATAACATATATTGTCTTTACCCCATAACTCATCTCTTAACTCTAAAATCCCAAAAACAAATGCCTGATTTCCTTACTAGATTTTGCTGATAAAGAATAAATGAAGATATAATTAATTATTTTAAGCTGGATTTAACAAACTAACTCTGTATTTCATACTTGAATGTTTAACAGACTTAATTTTAACCCCATCAAATATAATCCCATAGTTTATTTTCTATTCATTTTTTCAGAATTTACAGACTTCTTTTGTAATCCAGTAAGAAAAAGTTATTTGGATCACTTTTCTGTTTGTATATCTCCTTTAAACAGTGGACTAGCCATCAGTTTTATTTGAACATTCAGAAGAAAATATCTTTCTCTTTGACATATTTAAATCCACATTAAAATTAATTTCAAACTTAATTGTAGCTTGTTCTTCTGTGACTTTATTGACACATAATCTATTTATATCAAATAATTTTGAAGACCAAAATTCAAAAATGTTCATCAAAGATTTTTGTTCCATTTTCTTAACTAGATGAATTGTTTCCTACCTCTTTCTAGTGTCTCAAACCTTCAAGATCCTATTATCATATTTCCTCTTTAAAAAAAAAAAACTCAAATTATCACCATTTCCAACAATACCCTATTGGTATTTAATCAAAAAAAAATAGTATTTTTTATAAAACGTTTAAAATCACACTCTTTTTCCAAGGGGAAAGTATCTCACCTAATGAATACATGGAAAATCTTTTTGGTCTGAAGTGTCTTAATGTTTCCAATTTGGTTAAAAAAATGATCTCCAAACAGTGATAAAGAAATGAGGCACTATCTTTCATCCTTAAAAGATTGTGTTATAAATGTGAACTTGATGGTATCCCTCAAGTCACAACTACTCAACTCAAACGTCAATTGCAGAATGATGATTCCTGCCATCTACTTATAGGGAGTGGCTGTCCAGAGTCACATGGGTGCTAATCTTTCTTCTTACACATATATCCCAGTAATTTATAGCAAAAAATACTGTATTGTTTGTCAAATGAAAATATATTAATGTCACTGAAGATAATAGAAAAATATGATTAAGATCCTCACCTTGTAAGTTCAAACAGTCTGTTTCCTTAAAAATGCAACAGATTCAATTCATTTTAATGTATTAATAAGGGAAGAAAAAGTAGACTCCAAAACTTTATGATTATGATTATTACATGGATTATTATTTTGTGTACATTGCTCAATCAGACCAAATAGATCCTTTTAGAATAAAAAATCAGATCAATTATATCTTCCATTCAGAATCAGCCATATATTTTATAAAATACAAAGCAAATTTATCACTGAATAAAATTGATGTATAAAAATATTAGATTGTTAGTATTAAGCCACTCTTAAGTACACATACATTTGTGCCTTATTGAGTTATGATTCAGAGACAACGTGTGCAGAAGTTCTATTAATCCTATGTTGTTTTAAATAAGTTGATAAAATAACAGAGAATATGTTCCTTCCATAATTATTTCCTAAGAGACTCACCCTTTACTCTCTCCCTTAAAAATAGTTTAATATTTTGTACATTGATCCATAAGCAATTACCATGAAATTATTTGAATGACATAACCATTGAAAGCTTTCATAACAGCTTTCAGTTTATTTAGGAAACCTGAATGCTCTGTAAGCTAATTCAAGGTTATTTCAGGTTCAGCAAAAAAAAATTCTGAAATCTACTATGATTAATTTCTGCAGTGAAAAATTGATTAAAACACTATAAAATTAAAGTTCTTGAATAATGCTAGCAAAAACCAAATGAACCTATCATTTGGCTGTTTTTTTTTCTTCAAAAAAACATACTACTTAACATTTTAATGTCATCCTAAATATTATGGTTCTCCTAATACCTAATTCTGAGATCAACTAAAAACAAAATATAACTTGTAAAACGTAATCATTCAGTCCAAAATTTTAAATAAATAAAAAATATTAAGAGCACCAGAATAGATGAAAACTGATATATTGTGAATAGGCATGTGTTTGATCATAAAATGAGAGGATCTGCATTTAAAATTCTCCAAGATAAACACAGTAAGTCTTGAAGCAATGTCTGTTTAATTAATTTTGTAATGAACAGTGAGTTGCTGTGTACAGTCAGTTCAGCCTATTTGCAGCCAGTTTTTCACTCAGCAAACAGCCTAAATCCACTTTGTGACCCAAAGTGGTCCACTGGGTTATGTACAATTCTGAGATGTGAACTAGGGAAAAAAGAGCCATGTCCTCTTGTAACATACTATGGGGGTGGGAAACAAAAATTATTTTTGTTTAGTCAGAATGGGATGAATTTTACCCAAAAGTTCAAATGTAGGAGACACTGTAGGAGAACAGTTGTGCAATAATTAGGATTATGACAGCACCTTTTCCCACCAAATTTTAATAAAATTCATAAACGTTTGTGAGTGGCAGCTCAATTCAGATTCATAGAGTGGCTAGATTAATGCAGGATTTAAATATGGGTAAGATAGGATGAGGGGATAGTTTGCTAGTTATTGAGATGCAAGTTGTATACTTCTAACCTTTGGGTATTTGGGGAGTGACTGTCAACATTACATTATGTTTTTCAGAAAAACTTTAATGATTCTTCAACAAAGACCCTTGAATATGCTTGGCTTGAATAAATTTTGCACTCATAGATAAGAACACTTACCTTTGTATAGCTCATTTTTTTAAACAAAAGCAAAGAGTTGGAAAAATTAGCTCTTTTGCAAGGAAGAGAAGGGAAAAAAATACTCCCTCAGAATATGTATTAGAGTTGTTGCTTTTTAAAGTATTGGTAAATGATCTTGACTTAGGGGTAGGAGTTGGGTTGACTAGGTTTACAGATGCTGCTAAACTAATGAGAGTGGAAAAATCTAAACATAATCATCAAAAGCTGAAGGATGTTTTTTGAGGATACAGTGATACATATGGGGGCAAAAAAACTTAAAATATACTAGGTTTGTTTTTATTGAGGTTAACTTATTTATTCATGAATAAATCTGTACTTCCTGGAAATAGGGAGATGTTCCAGAACTGTGTGGAATGTAGTGCAGATGCTTACAGAAAGCTGAAAGAGAAAATAAACTTTCCTATAGTTTCTTACCTTAGAAACCAAGTCCAACTTTAGACTATTATCTCCAGCAGATCTCCAAGTTCATTCTGATCTTTTTTGTTGTTGATGTTATTTAAAAAGGAAGGGGGTTAAGGTTCAGGAAAGGGAAAGGGGGGTAAGCATTGTTTCTATGAATATTAGTAGGTTTATTTTTGGAGTGAGAAAATGTTAAACCATACTAAAAAATTTCCCTCAGTTTTGAACCATATCCAGATTATTCCCTTGCCTTCTGCCTCTATTCTTGCTTTCCTAGATCTACTCTCAGGTGAGGAAACTTCTTTCATAACCACTACATTTAACTTTAAGATGAAAAAAATATTTCCGAAGCAATTTGTTTTAAAATTATCTTTTTCTAAATCACTATGCATTACCATTAATAGTTACTTTTCTGCCACAGCTTGAAATCAGGTCTCTTTGTTTTTATAAATTAAACCTGAAACATATTTTATGAATGATATTCCGATCTCTGAGCTGTAATTTCTTCTGGATCTTTTCTCCCCTTAATTGCAGAGCAGTCATCAGGGTACTCTTCTATTTCAAAAGCTTACAATTTGGGATAAATATTTTATGAGTTTAACTTTACTTTTACATAGCAATTTTGATCTTCAAATGAGTAATAGATTTAGTTTGTTTCTTTCCTTGCAGTCTATGTTTTGAATTTATGTTTAGTGACATGATGTTCTACAGCTGTTTTAATAGCTTCAACTTTATAATTAGCTGAGCTCAGGTTTGGGTTACATACAACAAGGATCTAGTCTCACAGAGATAACAGAAATAGAAGATGTCACTATTTCAACAACTTTATGAAGTGCATAAAAATATACAAAAAAATCAGATTATGTTATGTGAATAGGCTTGTTCACACATTAATTATGGGTGAATCAATAGCCTTTGGTTATTGGAATTATTTTATTTATCTCTTTGGTACTATCAAGCTTACTTCTTAAATTACTCTGTATAAAAAATAATTGAATAACAGCCAAGGGATAACTGCAATTTAATGGGAGGAATGATTGCAGCTATATCGGGATAAAACTAATTTTTCATGTTCCAGAAATACACAGAGAGGCTCTAAGTATAGGATTAAATATTGTATGTTTTATTCTCTCCTATTCTAGTGGAACTTTTATACCTTTATCCTGATCCTTAATATTTTGTTGTTGAATAACCAGTTTGTAATAATGAACTAATGTAAGATATAAACAAAAATTATATTGAATATAACCTACAAGGAAAAACATAACTTCTGCAGCTCAGAGATAAATTTTAAGTTTCCAGCCACCAATATATTTATCCCATTTGGATGAAAAGGAACAACCAAAATCCAGCATCACACTTCCACTGCAAGCAACCTAACTAAGCACAAGAGTGTCCTAGGAAGTACTACAATTCAGCTCAGTGATAGATCTGTCTAGATCTGGAAATTGACAGGCTAAATCCAGAAAACCTGCTGCAATTCAGGGTAGGCAACTAATTGGGTTAAGGGACTGACTTAATTTAAGAAAGCTGTTTGTCATCTTAGTGGGAAAAAAGAGTTCCGTGCTACAGTTAATATATTTAAATATTGTTTTATATTTCAGATGTTACTTGAACTATTTTGCAATACAGTATTTCTTGTCAGTATGTTGTATTAGAGGATTGCAGAATCTGGTTTTTTTCACATATCAAATTCATTTTTAATGTTAATTTAACAGAAACCTCTATCTTGGCAACTGATTGTGGTTCTCTTTTTTTCCTTCCACTATTTAGTGTGGAATTAGATTTTAAGCAGCAAGAAGACAAACTTCAGCCAGTTCTGAGAAAACTTCATCCTATTGAGGAAACTCAGGTTGCACCTTTGCCTTATTCTCAGGAGAGTTACTCCTCAACTCCCAAGCAAAAATCCAAAACTGAATCAAAAAAGCATGGAAGATGGAAACTCTGGTTTCTTTAACTAAATCCGTATTATATGGAATTTTAAGGTCGCCTTCATATAAAAAAAAACTACATCCACATGAACTTGTGGAGTTTTTAAAAAAGGATCCTAATAATTTGAACAGGTGACTGTCAGCAAGTGTTACTCTGACAATATTAAGAAAGCATTTTTTCTCACCATATGTACCAAAAAAGGCCTTTGTACCTATGAATGAACTTTCAGGAGTAAGGCATTCAAATTGCATACCTTGTCAACTTTTTATTTGAACTTCACCATTGTGGGATGTTAAAGAACCTTTAAAACCAGGATAGAAATTCATGTTAGCAAAAGGAAAAAGTATAATTACTTGCCCACCGTTCTTTTGTTAAAAATAACAGGTAAATGTTATTTTTCAGAGTCCAGATTTTGTTTTGATTCTTTGGTTTTTCCCCTGAAGTTGTTCACTGTATATTTAATTTTCCACATATGCTGGGGTGGGTAGAACCATTTTCAGCATATAGATATCCTGAGGAAAGCACAATATTTTCAATGGTCTGAGACCATGAATAATCTTTGAAATGTGATTATGTGTATACTTGCCTTTATGTGCTGTAGCATTATGCCAAGTGATTGCACCTCAGTGAAATGCTGGCACCTTTAATTTACTGTCATTTTCATCACATAACCTACTGCTCACTTTAAATGGTGAGCAGTCAAAAGCCACCTAAAGTCAGGGCATGCCTTTAATTACTGGCAGTTGACAGGGTCAAAGCTAAGGACACTAAGCTCTCTTAGATATTATTTTTAATCTGTTGGTACCCAACAGCTGAAACTATGTTCTGGCACCATATTTGGAATGACGGAAAGAGGGAAGGGAAGAGATGCATAACAGTAAGTAACAGATCATTGGCAGCTGCCACAATTTAATACACTTTTGTAATTTAGTCTCAAGAAAACACTATACTCTCTTGACACACTGTGCCAGAAATTTTATAATGTATTGTGTTTTGCTTTTTAAGAGTTCACAAGAGCCTGGCAGCTTTGCACATTAAAGGAAGATACTGAACCATCCTAATCCTTCTACTAAAATAGTATTAGCAAATGAGAATGTTGAATGAAAATGTTGTGCAATTAACAGTTTAAGAGTAATTACACAAATTGAACAAAAACTCTACTAGTTATTTTTAGACACTTTAATTCCCATCAGTTTCATTGACAGGGGATCAAGCACATAACTGTCCATTATTTAAATAATATCTCTGAAAAATTACTCTGTAAGCTTTCTTTGGAGATTTTCCCCCCCTTTTTTATACTTCCAATTTCAATAAGGTATCTGGGAAGTTCTAGGTACATAGTTTATCTCAAATCATACAGGTTCTTTTTTCATAACTATAAAGCAGAATAAAGTGACAAATACTGTTTTATTGGTGGAAATCTCCAGTGAAAAAAATAATGAATGCAGATGTACTACAATCACTTACTTCAATATTTAAATCTACATTCATGTTATATATTTTATATTGAGTTTTATTAAAAAAATATAATTTGGTTGTTTTATGGAAAAATACCTGAGATGTGCTTATGAAAATACAATTGATACATGAATTATGATCAACTTCAAAATTCCCCTGTTATTCTATAACTCATTTTCTACTAATACTCCAAGAGGGCTACCAATGACTATTGTAAGGAAGTATTTCTGAATTTTATTTTTAGTATTATTTTTAATTTCTTTTTCAGAAAGTGCAAGGCTCAGAAAGTCATTTTGATGCTACTGGAAAAGCGTGAATATTTATATTGGAAAGGAATGGAATTAAACATAATAAATTTTACAGTCTTTTAAATTAAAGTTCATAACTTTAATTGATCCCAACATACTTTAGAATCTAATCCGAAATATAATTGTCGGTATCGTTCTTACTAATTCCAAGACACATTTTCAAAAATAAATATCTACATAGATTAAGCTGAATATTGATTGTGATCCTACAGATAACATCACATACATATACAATAGGGTCAACATGCAATGGAACATGTTTAGGTTTGGGTTTTCTACATGTCAGGAACACTTTAAGACAGTTACATCTTTTTCTTGGCTTGACACAGCTGCCCTCTGCAATTGACATGTGATCATAGGAAAATATACTTGGTTAAAGAATTATTGGCAGATTCTATATAACACCTTATGCTTTCTAAATGATATTTCAACCTTTGAATATGGATCATTGCATAGTCCTAATAAGCAACCTAATTTTTATGACCATTTATTCATAATCACAGTAAGGATCATGGCCATTATTCCTAACAAAATTCTATCCTTAAGACTTATAATAATTTATTAAATTCTCCCAAGTCCAAAAATAAACTAAAATTCCATCACAAAGACCCAGACAGGAAGCAGGAGCCCAGCTATAAACATGTGCTGCCTCATGTAACAGTGAATTTTCCTGTATGTTAAAAGCTGCACATGCATACATGTGTTTTCCTGATTTTCTTCTAACAAACTTTAATGACTCTCTTAATCACATAACCCAGCTGCAACTTCACTCATGATTCGATAGCTTGGAAATAATTGTGAAGAAATGCACCAGAAACCTGTACAAATTATAGGGTGCATGTCTGCAGGTTTATAGACTATATTCTGCTTTTTTTCCTTTTCTTTAAATCTGGGCTAAATCAAACATACAACAAGTATGCATATTATAAATATGCTACTCTGAGATGCTTAGCATATGACCTGTGTATTTCAAAAATAGCCCATATTCTTCTTGGGCTTCCATCAACCCACAAAAATTCCTAAAATATATTTGCTGGTTGCCAAGTAACACTCATTCTATTATATAGGAATCAAACCAGGAAAAGAAACATTAAGATACCATTTTGAAGTTGAGAAGCAAAATGAGTCAGTATTCTATACAGCAACAGAGTGTTTTACTAAAACGCTTGCAAATTTTTAATTTTTACATTTCCTCTTTCAAAAGATAAAACACATATTCTTGCTCAAAGCTACATATTGTGTTATCGTACCATACTATGTAACTTGTAATAAAATTTTCTTTGCAAGTGTGTAAAACGTATCATATTGTATTACATTTAGGATCACTGAGGCAAAAGTTAGAATTCTGTGGCGAGAAGGCTAAAATCTGTAGTAAAGTATAATATTTAACTGACATATCAAATGAAAATACTTTTACTGAAATTTGTTGTTTTTAAAAAACAGGTAGGAAGTCCAAAATGTATATCATTATTCCAATTTGTGTATTCCTTAATTTGCTGCTAAATTCATTAGCAATATCATGTGGTTTCAACCACTCGTTTACTTAAACACACTTCCATTATCATGCTTTATATTCCATTTCTAAATAATAAATGCTGCAGTAATTTTATATTACTTGCTATTTTCATACTATAAGGACAGTATTTTCTAAGTTTGCATAATTCCCATAAAGCAGCAGTGACATAGATATTTGTTTTGAAATTAATGGGAAACAATACATGTAAATATCACTTTTTTCTTAAAAAACAGACCACTGTAATATACTTTATGTAGTCAAGATAAAATGGAAAATATTAATGTTAAAAATGCTGAGTATATGAATTGTTTGCTTTGCTTACATTATTTTGATTATTTTTGCCTCTGAAAACACTTTTGTACAACAAAATACTGGCTGAGTGTCTCTCTCTACTTTTTCTTCAACATTTAATTGCTGTACCAAGTTTTAAAACCCAAGGGATGATTTTTTTCCATAAATGTTTTAAAATGAAATTAGACTTTACATAGCACTGTGTAATAGCAATGAGTTGATACTACAGTATATGTAAACTTAATCATTATTGCTATTAAGAGACCCCATATTTCATTATAATGAAACTGAATTTCCAACATCTCTCAGCATTATTTCCCTCTCAATAAAATTAGTACAAATAATTTAAATACAGGATACTCAAAGTATCCCTCCATTTGTTCAAAATGTTCTTCAAAAAAACTTAATTTATAAATGACTATTTTACCTTAAAAGGAAAACAAAGTAAAAATAATTATGAAAATGAATTGATTGCAATTATGGCATGCAGAAATTTGTTAATTACAGGTAGTTCTCAATTTATGACCACAATTGACCCAAAATTTATGTTAAGTGAGAAATTTGTTAAGTAAGTTTTGCCCCATTTATGACTTTTCTTGTGACATTTTGTTAAGTGAATCACTGAAGTTGTTAAATTAGTAATATGGTTGTTGAATGAATATAGTTTCCCCATTGTCTTTGCTTGTCAGAAGGTTGCAAAAGGGTGACCCTGGGATCAAGAATCTTTGAAAATCTCCATAAAACAATGTAATTTTTAAAAACAACATGGTAATTCATATTGAGAGATGGTATCAAAATGTTAAAATATATTGAAGTAGAGAAGACAATGTTCCCAAAAGACAGGAATCAAAAGATGAAGCTGTAGATAAATACTTTATATCTTATCACTTGAGGTTATGATATAAACTCACATTCAACTAGAATTATCCGGCCTATGATACCTTTCTACGGTAACCAGAAATATCAGCCAAGAAAGAGCTTGTGAAAGAAGAAGCAAGGATCAGCTATCATAGTAAAAAAAACAATAATGAACTCCTGGTTGAGGAAGCAACTATTTACCTTCTAGTAACCTATTTGTATTTGTTGCCTCTGGATTTTCTTTTTTTTCTTTTTGGAACAAAAACAAGCCTTTTTTTCCTTGAAGTCAATGGAGTTGAAGTAAATTTCAGGGCCTACTTTTGCAATGATCTAACTCTTGTTTGGTAGCTATGCATCAGATGAAAAAACTAATACACAAGATCCCAGTAAAGACATGCCCACAATACTCCCGAAAATATAAAACTGGGCTGCTTGAAGATTCTCAGTCTTCCTTACAATAAAACACAGATTTTCCCATCCAAAACATTTTGTTTCTGAGAAGAATGCTATCTCTCGAGTAGAACAGAGCTCCCCAGCTGGAGGGAAAGGGAGGAGCTAGTGGGGCCACTAGTGCATGCACACATGCACAAATGGGCTGCTAGCACCTGTACAGTGGCACTAGAGCGAGTGGATG